ACTTCGAACTAGCGTACAAAAAGAAGGCTTTCGGATTCTTTTTGGCATTTTTAGCAATATTTTTTTCAAAGTTTTTCACTGCAGTGCGACAAACTTTTTTAGCTTGATTTCGAGCTCTGGCATACAGGTTATAATCAGACTCACTGCGAGTTCGTAAATAACGCTTGTAGGCTTCTTTCTTGTAGCTTGTAGGCTTTACTTCTGCATCTGGCATATCACAAATAGCATATGGAATTTTTTCGAAGATGCCATACAATAGCCCTCGCAAAGATATTTAAAATGAGCCCAAACTTGTTTACGAAATGTTTCATGATGAGAAGTTATTATTGAAAAATGCTCATATCTGTCCATTATAACCCTGTTTGATGGTAATGCAGCATAAATTCCACATCAGCAGGTTATGCTATACAAAATCAAGTAACATTTCATCTATTGATTAGAATATCTTTGCGCACATTATTAATGTTATCATCAGAGTGCTTAAACATCAAAACTTTTGCAGAAATAGATCACATATGCCAAGCCTCAATCAAGAAGAAAAACTAAAGGTACTGGTCATTATTAATAGATCTTACTGATTTTGCTGCCTGGTCAGGAACAAATTCACTTCAGGAACAGGTAATTATGAGCAGAGAATCAAGAAACCTGCCAAACTGTTAGTCACAATTGACATCTACTCACATTATTATTTTGCTTACCGCATGTCACTGATTTATTTTAGTCCTCATTCTTGGAGGGCACTTTTAATGATAAAAAACACACGAGATTCTTAACTCACTCAAAAACTACGGATTCGCCGCACAAGCTAATACAAAGGAATGGTAAATTTTAATGCTGGGAATTATCCTGGCACAAGAATTTCATGTCATGAAGGCCTTTTTCAGGTTGTGAATAGCCATTTTGCTCTGCAAACTCAATTGTCAAGCCATGCATGAAATTATGCCAAATCTCTAATTTTATTGTAGAAATAGCAAACACATTTTTCTTCATTAGTTAGAAGCAATTAAACATGTGATGACTTGTCTATTGGTGAGAGTTTTTTATAATGCATTACAAAGGTTCCTCATGGTGGGCAAGCCAGTGATGTGCATGGAACTAAATGTGGCTGGAGGGATGACAGGTCCAGTGATGGAACTAGTGCCCTGGATAACTGACCTATCATCCTTCCCTCAACCAGTTGCCACTAACAGGATGGGCAATGACAACAGCAGCCATGGCCTGTTGTGCCATGCAAAAAAAATTATTAACTCAATGCCTAGGTCAAATCACCTTTATGTCATATTTTGGAAAATATTGTTCTTTTATAGTGCAATAATTTACTACAGCATATCATGTCGCCACCTGGTTTTGTGCCACCAAGCAGAACACCAGAGGCCACCACCTTTAATTTCAGCTGAGCTTAAAAGAAAATTTAAAATTCTTAACAAAATTACAAGGCAAATAATTTATTGTTACAATACTACTGATCAAATGAAAAATCACTATTAAACATTATGAGTTGACTTGTCCTATGCTCCATTGTTTCTATGCTACTTTGCTATAAAAGCAGTCTTGACTCGGTTCTGACACAGACTTAGCATGTTCAAGATTGTATACAAGTAAAAGGAAGTATGACTGGAAAGAAGCTCAAGTGACACCACTGTTCAAAAAAGGTGACAGAAGCTGCCTGGACAACTATCGCCCTGTCAGTTTGACAAGTGTCGTTTGCAAGGTAATGGAATCTGTTGTGAGGGTTTGATTGATAGATCATTTGACTGCTAATATTCTCCTATCAGACTGTCAACATGGCTTTATTGCCGGAAGATCCTGCACCACTAACCTCTTGTCTACTCTGAACAAATGGACCCGCCTGCTGGACGAAAGGGAGCTAGTAGATGCAGTGTACCTCGATTTTGCCAAGGCATTTGACAGTGTCCCACATGAGCGGCTGTTGCGGAAATTGCAGTCTTTGGGAATTGACAGCAATGTACTCAAATGGGTCAAAGATTTTCTAGTAGGGAGACGTCAACGTGTCAGTATTAATGGGTCAGTATCAGACTGGGCCTCAGTGCGCAGCAGCGTGCCACAAGGAAGCGTGCCCCCGATCTCTGCCGCGTCTGCGTCGTGGGGGTACCCTGGCCAGCGCGTCGGCCGGATGCCCGGCTTACTCGCGGACCAGGCCAAACGGCAGAGGCCTCCCCGCCCGGATCGCTACCGGACGAAGGCTCCACCATTTTTTCCCCTAAGGGCAGGGGAACCTCGGCCTCCCCTTCCCCCTACCCACATCTTTGGCCGCCTATCTTTCCTGAGACATCTTATGCCCTTCTTTCCTCCCATCTTTTCTTCCTATTCGTCCTTCTTCTCCTTACCCAGGGTATCCATCCCAACCCTGGCCAGGACCCCTGCTCAGTCTGCTCCCTCCCGGTTACACGGCAGTGCTACTCGTTTCGGTGCTCCGTGTGCAAAGCCTGGTGCCACAAGCGGTGAGTTCTGATACTTTCTGATGAGTTCTGTCACTTTCTGACAACTGTGCATCATTTTCATGTGTACCTAATTTTGCCTGATTTATCAGTGATATGAGCAAGGATGTTTAAGCATTGTTTACTGTTTCATGATGTTCTATCTCATGATACACAACCTGAAAACTACGTTCTGTGTCATTGAATCCGGTTAAACTCATAAATGATCTTGATACTGTCAATTATTAGCAGTTTTGCCCCATTTATAACGTGTGCTTTTTTTCTGAGACTGATTTTCTAGCTTCTGCAATATCAAAGTGATTGTGCGAATTAATCCAATTGTCTATGTGTGTGTCTTGTGTAACGTAACCAGGCAGTTTGTACTGTATAACCCTGAGCGGAATTTTTCCTTGACAAATATTTCCTGTTGCCGCCTATATGGAAATTTCTGAATATTCCTAAGCGTCTTGAATGGCTCAATCGTTACCGACTAACGTTTTTTAGGAATTACTATTAAGACTAATTTTAAGTTCTGCCTTCTTATGGACTGAAAAGAAGTACAGTAAGATTACAAAATTCTGTATTTCATTCTCCGCAAACCATCTGCGGCCTCTGGCAATGAGGACACTTCATCACCAGTCAAAACACTGGAACCTTCTCCGCTCATTATCCGGAAAACTTAGCCGCCCTCCACCCAACCAGCCAATCCAATTTGGTCAGACCTCCCTCTCGTCGCAGCGCAAGATCTCCACCGCCTTCTGCAAACTATTCACCTCCATCGCTCCGCACTCCCAAAACCCATCCACCCGCCGCCTTATGCGTCGAATTTGGGCTGAGCACCCCCTGGACAGGGACTTCGCCCCTTTCACCCCTAACACGGTGAAACTCGCTTCAGAGCTGCTAACAATTCTTCCGCTCGGAGTCCGGATGGCCTCACGGTTCTCCACCTCAAACACCTTGGCCCACGCGGCCTCCAGTTCCTTACCCACATCTTTAATATCTCTGTCGCCACGGCCTCCATTCCATCCATATGGAAAACTCAATAATTATCCCGTTACTAAAACCAGGTAAACCTGGTAACCAGGGCTCCTCATACCGCCCCATCTCCCTCCTTTGTACAGCGGTTAAGATCCTGGAACACCTTCTACTCCCATACATCTCTGGTTCTCTCGTCACGGTTTCCTCGCAACATGGCTTTAAACCAGGTCACTCGACAGTCACCGCCCTCCTCCCGCTCGCGCATCAGATTGCAAAGGGGTTTCAATTCACGCCGTCCCCCAGCACGTACAGTAGCAGCCGCGGTCGACCTATCGAAAGATTTCGATAGTGTCGACCACCTTCTCCTCCTTAGCATGATCGCGGCCTGAGACCAACATCATAATCTGGTCCGCTGGCTGTGCTGTTACCTTAGAGGAAGGATGGCTTCCTGCCTCTATCTGAGAACAAGGTCCCCCTTCAGAACAATCAATTCTGGAGTCCCCCAAGGGTCGGTCATCTCACTAGCCCTTTTCAACTACTTCATCTAGGACATACCTGTTCCGACATCTAACATCGCCTCATATGCAGATGACCTCACTATTTTCGTGTCGTCCCCGAGACTCGACGCCGCGGAGGCTGACCTCTCTGAGCTTCTCCGGGGCGTCTCAGACTGGTCGACCGCCAAGAAACTGGCCGGGGCTCCGGGGAAATCCTCAGTCACGCTCTTCACCCCCGACACTCACCAATCCCGTCTTCACCCCTCTGCAACAATCTGCAATTGCATCATCCCATTGGACAAGACCCCCAAAATTTTGGGGGTCACTTGGGATACCCTTTTTACGTTCTCTCCACATGTCAGAGCCATAGCCACCAAAGCCATAGGCTCTTTACGCATCTTAAAAGCCCTGGCCAGCACCAACTGGGGCTTCTCCAAGGAAGACATCATTGCCACATACCGTACAATTACTCGCCCAATCCTCAATTATGCTGCCCCCATCTGGTACCCAGTCGCGTCACGCACCGCAATTGCAAGCCTCCAAATCATCCAAAACTCAGCCTTGAGACTAGCCACCGGCTGCATCAAGATGGCCCCAATCGCCCATCTCCACCATGAGACCGGCGTCCTCCCCCTATCCGCCCACCTGGACCTGGCCTGTGCTCAATTTCTCGGCAGCGCACTCCAGCCTACTCATGCTTCTTTCACCTTCGTCTCCGCTCCCCCCGGAGACCGCCCCATAAAAGCTTCAATCAAGACAAGATTCGGCCACCTTGTGGCGCCTTTCCTTGTTGACGGCATGATGCCCGACGGTGCCAATGGAGAGGCAAAATGCTCCCTCCGTAGGGAGATAGCCACCCGTGTTGCGGCGACGGCCGTTATAAACGCTGTCCTCACAGCCCCACCACCACCGATTGCAGCAGAAGAAGCCTCGCTCCCTCGCCCTTACCGTTCAGCGCTATCCCAGCTACGCTCGGGATACTGCAGCTCCCTTGCGTCCCACACCCACAGGGTCGGACGCTCCCTTAGCGCCGCTTGCCCGGAGTGCGGGGATCCCCTCCAATCCGTCCAGCACCTCTTTGCCTGCCCCGCCTTCCCCACGTCCCTCAGCGTCTCATCATTGTGGGACAACCCCGTGGAGGCGTCGACGTTCCTGGCCACCCTCCCTGCTTTCGCCCATCTGCCCCCTCTCCCGGTGCCTCCCCTCCGACCATCACCAGAGCCTCCGCCCACGCGAGCGTGACGTTTGGTGCAAGAAACAACAACAACAAGGAAGCGTTCTCGGGCCTGTTTTATTGGTTGCGCTTATAAACGATCTGCCAGAAGCTGTGTCTAGCGTGTGCTCGATGTATGCTGACGACACAAAAATTAATAATACAGTGAAGAATACCGTACGTTGTAAAAAGTAGTTAGAATGTGATCTTGACAGGCTGGTTGACTGGGCTGATAAGTGGAAGCTGCGTTTTAATGCTGACAAATGTAAAGTAATCCACCTTGGCAAGAATAATGAACAGCAAGATTACAGTATGAGAAGACACGGCTGCAACTAAAGAGTGATGATGTCGAAGTCGACAATGGAAAAAGATTTAGGAGTTAATATCGATAATGAGTTGAAATTTTCTAAGCATATTGAAGGCCAAGTTAATAAAGCCAATAAATGACTTGGACTGATCAGACGCTCTTTTGAGTTCCTAGATGCAAAAGCGATGAAGCAGTTATTTGTTGCTGTCGTGCGCCCGAACCTAGAGTTTGGGAATGTCATGTGGTCACTGAAACTTGAAAAGGACAAAATTTAATAGAGAGTGTTCAAAGACGTGCAACAAGGATAATCCCGGGCTTGAAAGGCAAGTCCTATGAGGAAAGATTAAAGATTATAAAACTTTCAAGCCTCAGTTATCGACGTCTGCGTGGGAACTCATTGAAGCATACAAGTATACTCATGGCTTATACAAGGTTCCAGAAGGATTACCTACTAGAATTTGAAACAAGAACCAACACCAGGGGCCTTGGCTAAAAACTGCATTGTAACACTTCCATGCAACAACATTTTTTCTCGCTTCGAGTCACCGACACGTGGAACAGCCTCCCTGATAGCATTGATGATGCTCCGAGTATGACAGACAAGGACAGACTAGGCGAAGCTATGCAGGAGCATATGTTCAGTCTTAAAATGCCTAGCAAATTACGGACCAGGCAATAAGTCCAGACGAAGCTATGCAGGAGCATATGTTCAGTCTTAAAATGCCTAGCAAATTACGGCCCAGGCAATAAGTCCAGCAGCTATCTCAATCAATTGTCAGTTATGGAAAGATCAGGTTGCAAAGGCTGGATCCCTTGTGAATCAAGCCACGAAAAATTCAAGAATCAGCAACAGGCCATGGGCCTATTTCTTCAGTGCCAACTCTTCTATTCTATTCTATGACTTTTATCACTATTGAACGCATTAATGTGTTATGGTCAGTTATTTAAGTGAATAGATCTATTCCAATATGACCAATAAATTTTGTTTAGTGAGTAGTTGATTAGGTTATATTTACTAATGTGATGATGAAAATTAAATAGAGCTCAGTTATTTCAACACCTTCAACATAGAACCTTAATTTAGCAATTTTGACATTGCTATTCAAAAATATTGTTAGCACAGCAATGCTTTCTGAAAATCACAGCTTTGATGTCCATGCTGTGGAATTTCACATCTTTTTAAGACGGTTTCTATTTCTATTAAATATTTCATATTCAACTTTAGCAAAATCGTTGGCATTAAATATTGCTGATGCATGCATAAAGCAATCAATCGTGTTCTAAAGAAACTTGTGATGAGCAAATTTTGTTGCACATGTTAAACTTAAAGCCTATTTAGGAACCTCTATTGCACTTCACAATTTCCTGTATCCCTCCAGTGTTCTAATATTGCTGCCAACAATATAGATAAAAAACTTCAACCTCAGTGATTCATAACTAGCATCACATTTGTGATGGCGCCCATTACCGAAGAATGCAGTGTTGTGCTGCACCAACTCTCTGATGCTGCAGTCAGGAGTGGCAGATGCCCTGAGCAGAGCCTCACTCAAGCGTCTCCTGGTGGCAGCAAAGTAAAGACTGAAGGTAAGGAAAATGCCATTTGCCTTACAAATCAACTGCTATTTTGCAAGGGAGTTATTGAGGTTATATCAATTTATTTTATTAAATTTTCCTCTGTATTTATTTCTATGAAGTTTCACTACAAGATTTGATAACTATGTATGTGAAGATGTTACCTCATGAGTTTCACTCATCTGAGTGATATTAACTTTTTTTAAGTCTCATATGACTCATTAATTTGGTGAGCATTATATTTATTATGAGAGATATTGCTCATTAACCAATTGGCAACAGTATACCAATATATATATTTTCCAGCCTTTGGAAAGGTTGACCCTCTTCCAGTCCTTGAAGTTCCTGCAATCTCTGTCAAGGAGGAGCCTGAGGATGAAACTGAAGAAGTATCCATCAAAGAGGAACCGTTCTTATATGAAAATGAGGTAGGTGGAGTTGATATGCAAATAAACGCATTAAAAATTCTTGCATAGATTTTAATAGAAAATTGCATAATTCTATTTTATAATCAAATCTTCAAGTTAGGCAGCAGGAGGCAAATCTTAACCCAGTATTATGTCTTGAATATTGAGCAGTAATAGTTAGGTATAAAGCACCTTCATTGTCCTTCAAAAATTGGTTATAAGTTGTAGTAAATTTGACTCATAATTGCTTGCATTAGGTTTGCTATTCTAAATCCACATCCACCATTTTTTCCCATATTTGTCAGTGGTCAAATTAAGATGAAATATGATGACTCCAATTGACAGGAATCCTGCAAAAATTTCTAAATTTACTTGTCCTAGTGCTACTTCCTTGTTTTTCAATGAATAAATAAGAATATAGCAAAGAATTGCATAGAATATTACTGGAGAACATTCCTGTCGATGAAACACTTTTTTAATTCAAGTGATGCAACGTCAATACAAAACAAATAAAGAAGTTCAATAAAGAAATATTGAACAAAAAAATACTAAAAGTGTGACTTTCTTTCCGAAGTCAACCCATATGTCTATGTCTCTAATTGAATATGAAAAAAGCAAGTAAAATATTTGCATTATGATGCGTTGATATGAGAAGACATTTTATAACCAGTAATTTGTGATGCCAGCACATTCATGTGCTGCTGTGAAATTAGAAACTTGCAGAGAATTCTATGTGGAGTCTTATATCCTTCCTCATAAAATTCACACATCACTACTGCCACATCACCATTTTCCTCCATGTTTATCCAAAAAGTCACACGAGTCATGTACTATATCTTGCAAAATGCACACATACCTCCCAGCCACATCAACATTGTCCTCCACATCCCCTAGGCTTGTTCAACTGCACATCTCAGCCCTGCACCTGCACTCTCCTCTTGTGTGCCGTGCAAGATGGAAGCTAAAGTTGAGGCTTGCAATGCCCACCCAAACTCCTCACAGAACATTTCTGCTCTATTGTCAAAAAAGGTATGTATAGGCAATTTCCCTTTTCTCTCATTTTCACTAAATGATACATTTTTAAAGATTTTCCCAAAACTTTTAAATTACCATTTTTTAATTTCATTCATGGTAGTTAAGTATTTACATTTTAATCGTGCTAGTGAAATTTAATGATTTTTTATCTTTAGAAATAGATGGTAATGCCTTTGATTTTCCATATGCAAAGATCCTTGAACAAGTCATCTAGTTCATGCAGTGTTGGAAGATGAGGTAATGCCCTCAAAACAGTTGCATTCAATGTAACATCCTCACCCTTTTCTCATGTATCCGGGATCAAATTCAAGAAAGGATGGGATTGATAATATCACCACACAGCATGGGACAAAGATGTTACTTGGGTTCTCACTAGTAGCTATTTTATCTTGAAGCTGTCCATGACCTGCTTGGGTGAACCTAATATCCTTCATATAGCAGAGCTAGACCAACTTCATGTGCAGAAAACTGTCATCAAGGAGGAAACAAAAACAGTGGTCGAATATTGAGCATTAGGGCAGGGAAATGTAATTTTTACTTGCACATCTGGTCCAGCCTAGGCTGAAACCAATGCACGGTCACAGCTGGGTGTCTCTAAATTATGTTTTAGTTGATTCTGTTTTAGTAACGGTTTAATGGGATGCAGTGACCAGTGAAAAATTGTGCCAAGGCCCATCTCATTGATCTGTGGAGAGATAGTTTAGATTCGTCTGTATTTGGTAGTGGAGGATGCCAGCAGTTGAGCAGTTCTGGTGCATGATATGAGTCAATGGCTTCGGTGTGAGGCTGTGACTGGCTTTTTTAGCGCATTTTCTCATTTATGGAAAAAATGCCCTATTGTGCTCGTCATGTCCGTCCGTCTGTCTGTCCGTGACCACGTTTTTGTCGATTTTGAGAAAATGTGCTCTCTGTCATTCACTGCAGTGAGTGCTGAGTTATATTTTTTAAGGGTAGTGCTGGTGGTATTGATAGGCAGTACTGGTTGAGTTACATTGATATGTTTGGTGTTCTGAGTGTCTCTCATGTTGCAGGGTTAGTGGTTTGGTCTTGTGATTTGGTGGCAGGGGTGTTTTGGATGGAGGCATTGAGTAAGGTGTTAGGTGGAAAGAAGGTTAGTGTGTTGTTGGATGGTAAGCATTTAACATTCAGACTGAAGATATTGTTTATCTGTTGTGTTGTGCAATATAGTAGGCTGAAAATTTCCTACAACTTGCCATTACAACCCTTGGCAAAAATTATGGAATCACCGGCCTCGGAGGATGTTCATTCTGTTGTTTAACTTTGTAGAAAAAAAGCAGATCACAGACATGACAAAAACTAAAGTCATTTCAAATGGCAACTTTCTTGCTTTAAGAAACACTATAAGAAATCAAGAAAAAAATTGTGCAGTCTGGAACGGTTATTTTTTTAGACCAAGCAGAGGGGAAAATATAACTCAGTACTCACTGCAGTGAGTGACAGAGAGCGCATTTTCTCGTCGACGAAAACTTGAGGTTACGGACGGACGGACAGACAGACAGACGGACATGGCAAGCACAATAGTGCATTTTTTCCATAAATGAGAAAATGCGCTAAAAATATGGAATCACTCAATTCTGAGGAAAAAATTATGGAATCATGATAAACAAAAGAATGTTCCAACACATCACTAGTATTTTGTTGCACCACCTCTGGCTTTTATAACAGCTTGCAGTCTCTGAGGCATGGACTTAACGAGTGACAAACAGTACTCTTCATCAATCTGCCTTTCTCTGATTGCTGTTGCCAGATCAGCTTTGCAGGTTGGAGCCTTGTCATGGACCATTTTCTTCAACTTCCACCAAAAATTTTCAATTGGATTAAGATCCAGACTATTTGCAGGCCATGACCTTATGTGTCTTTTTTCAAGGAATATTTTCACAGT